GCAGCTCATATAAATAAATCCAAGAGATATGAGACAGTGTGGTTTGTTTGTAAACTGTAGAGCTCCATATTTTGTTAGGAGAGATATTGGTGATGAGATTTAGATTATTACACAAAGCCAGATCAGAGCTTGCACCTCAGCAGAATTATGATCTGGCAATGGCAGACTTAAGGGAATGTCATTGTCAAAAGAAGTGCCCTTGTGGCACTGTCCAGCACTGGTGTGTACACAGCAGGGTATTCTAAATTGCTCCTTAAAGGTTTCTTTATCACTTATTAAACCTTAATAAAAAGGCATGAAAGAAAAATATATCCTCAACCCACCCCAGAGTACAAGCCAAGATATAAAGTTGCTTTTCTTTGAACAATATATTTACTGTCATGTTTCAAGTTTTGATCTGAATGTTTTTGACACTTTATTTTTTCAGGTATGACTCAGGAGTTGGATTTGTAGAAAACTGCTAACTCATGCCCTTCTCCAGGGCTAAGGTTATGAGGCTGATCTTAGAGAAAACTTGCCAAATTCCTGTAGATATTACAAAAACTACCCAGTAAATGAAGTGCATTGGAAGATATATTGTTGCAAATATATGTTTAAAAATGGATATAAATAGGTATTCAGAGTTTTCCCATTGCTTAGATTAGTGATTTGGAGGACCTGATTAGGTTTTACACAACTGAAACTCATTCATCTGAATTAAATCACCAAGGGCTGCCTTGCTGGAGAGCCTTGTAAATTGTGAGCAGTAGGCTGCATGCCTACTAGTAAGAATTAAAATCACATTAAATTCTTAGTCTGATTATAGTTGTCTCCCAGTTTTGAAGTGCACTGACCTCAAGCACACACTTGAAATGTGTGTGAAACAACCTGTAAGTAGCATCTGTGGTTAACAGTGAGAACACATTACAAGTAAACGTTGTCTTAATAACTAACCCCAGGCCTTTACTCAGCAAATCAAGGTTACTGGGGGTCACCAGGCAAAGGTGCAATGTTATAATGAATGAAAAAATAACCTTTTAAAATAACAAATGTTTGTATTGTTTCCAAATTAGTACAATGCAACTAACTTCTCCCTAAAATCTTAAAATGCCATTGCCTTCTGCCTTAATAGGTAACTAAAACCATTCCCCATCTTCTTATCTGTTGTGAATAATTATCACATGCAGGCAATATTTCATCACAATTCTGGGTTATCAACTGAAAGACAATGGATTTCCAACTGAAGAATTATGACATGCTTCAAACCATATCATTTTGTGATAAATTGATACAAGTAAATAAAATTATCCACTCAAAGAAAACTGGAACCAGTTAGACAGATTAGCAGATGGAAGGGAAGACTAAAACTGGGAAGATGGCCATTCCTTAGAAGAAAATGAAGGTGAGACCAGAGCTGCTCATAGTCATTAATCTTCTTGTAAGCCTACTCTTTTATTAGGAAATTCCTCCTTTAGTTATTAGTTTATATTTTATAGTTGAAAAGTGTTAATATACTTTAGATATGGGGCTAATGTGAAGGAAATGGAGGGCAATCTCTTGTCGATCATTAAAGGTCAAAATGAGCTAGTTTGATAGTGGAGAAAGTTTCTAGACTTTTCCAAGTGAGCAGTGGTGTTCCCCGAGTTCTGGTAGCTGTAGATGTCACAGAAAATACTGCACAGCCATCCTCCTGCTCCACAAAAACAGCAAAATTGCTGCTCATATTACTCTTCCATTTGGTTTGCTAACAGCCTTCATGTAATTCAAGGTCTGATATCTCTTTACTGTCATAATGAATGTCCTCACGGATCTTGCGAAATTCAATATGTGAGAAAAATCTACAGCAGGCAGTTTTATATTCTGATCATAGTAACACATCTCTGGGACTCTAATAATGGGCATCAATAAATTTCAAATAGGTGCTTAGTGATTGTTCTAAGTTACTTCAGAAAAGTTAAAACTACTGTAAAACTAAAATTTACATTATGTAACACGTTTCTTGTAAAATGAAATTAACATTATCTCTGTGTCATATACAGTCTTCCAGTTTTCTGAACACCATACTTGTGTCATGATAAAAATCTGATTTCTCTAATTGTAGAAGAATAGCTTTAGTAAGATATTTAGCTGCTGTTCAATTTGAACTGGGCACATATCTCAGTTTCTGGCTTCCTTTTACTGGCAGATTAGAAAGCACAACATTTGAATAGGTAATTGACCCCTGACCTGAAACATCTCTGGGACTAGGACTTGTTAGTGGCTAGCTTCTGTTTTCATTTAATTATCTCCCAAGTCATACCATAGCTTTTTGTCTCACAGGAGTTGAACATATAATACTTCTAAAATTTTACATATCCCTACATCTATATTCAAAGTTACCCAGTCCCCTCAGGGCAACCCAAAGGAAACACTGTAGCTGTTTAATATCCTGAAACTCCAGAATGGGGAAATTTTCCAGAGGTTTTTATTGCTGGTGCATAATTGCATTCTCACAAAAGATTTGTAATATCTATATTATGGCTGGACTCCTTCTAACCTGACTTTGTTTGCATTGTGCTTAATTAGAAAATTATAAAAGTTGTAACTGGGTAAGCATTCATTTTTATTTCTTGTGAAGATGAATATACATGTTTGAGACAGAGTATGAGTAAATCAAACATCTATACAAATAGGTTCTCATACACTACACAACTTGCAACAGCAAGTCATTACAAAAGAAGACAGACATTAAAATTACTTTTTAAAGAAACCTCTAACTGTGCACCATGGAAGAACCTGTGCAAACAATCTGTTTTCAAGGCTGCTGTTACTAATGACATGGAAATTCCTTAAAACGTAGGGAAAATAATCTTAAAATTTATTTTTACATATCAAATTAAAAGCAAATTCTTGGAAAGGAAATGTCTAACTCATCAGACTATATATATGAATGGGATCAGATTCTGCATCTGTAGAAAATCCAATATCTATACTTGATGAATAAAAGTTGTGAGCATCAGCCAGGAGTAATTGGAAAATATTCATGATTGCTTTGAAAGGTTTTGACTGCTTGGCTCTGAAGACCAAATATCCATTGATTTCTAAACCAGCGGTTGTTGCAAAACTATTGTTTACTGAATTTATACAATTTTCACAATATAATAAACAATCACTGCTATTCCTTAAGAAAACTGACTCTAGAATATTTAGCAAGCTGCACTCACCCAGTTGCTTTGTTGCTAGGAAATGGGGTATGCAACTGCCACTTAAAGTTTTTTGAAAATTCTTATCACCAACTTCCTTTTTAAATGCTCAGAGCAGATTTTGTAACTGCCTTGACTGTGATAGGCTGAAGCCTTAAACCCACGCCGTTTAGTTTTCTGTATGTTATATTATGTTTCTGTATGTATTTTAAAATATATTGACCACAGTTAAATTAATTTACAGAATATACGGCTCCGAGAAGATGAAAGGGTGATACTATCAAAAGGTTGATACCTGAGGAAGCCCAAGTCACACACTCGTGCTTCTATCATTTTCTTCAACCTTTTGTATATCAAAGTATTCTTTCTCTCTAGAAAAGGGAACATTCTAAGGGGAAAACTGTTTAGAGCCACACCTTTGCATCATTTGGACAACACTGACCTCTAGTGTTTCAGGAGGTAGAGAAACTAGCTCAGGCTCTTCCGTCTTTTTCTTGGGTACCATGGGAATAATTTCAAGAAGGAGAAAAGAAGAGGAGGAGGAGGAGGAATGAAAGTGGAAAAACTCAACAAGAAAATTCAATTTACCTGACTTTAACCTGCCTTAATACAGTCTCTAAAGTATTTTACTAGCTTCTCCCATCCTAATAGAGAGGGTAGCCTCTTTTGTCTAACTTTATAACAGAAACTTTGAGAAAATAGCATAACTATGGACTGTGAGCTTTCCAATCTTTGAATCACAGACACAATAACTATACTTTAAATATTTATTTACTTGTCTTCCTTCTGGAATTTGAACAAGATCCTCTAAGGATTAAGGAATCAGGCAAAAGGATCTCCTGCAATAAGTCTTCTCACTTTTTAAAACCTGATATTGACAATACAAATTACAATTGTTCTAATATAGATAATATTTCTGAGGTTTCTGTGTAACAACAGAAGATGAGGGGACAAATCCAGAGACTCGAGGGACTGTGGTAAGACATCCTTGCAAACAACACAGATGGCTTAATTGAATCAAGTTTCATTTATGAGTTTCCAGGGATGGAAAACTTCCCTTCTTCTGTCTAGAGAAGCAGCTGAGCAATTGAGCTTGAACCTCTCATGGCTTTATGGGTTTATTCAAGTTTGACAAACTGCATTCCTTAAATACATAATGCAGGTGGCAGATCTCTCAGAGTCAAGAATTTCTTTCTACCAAATTAAGTGTATGATTGCTGGGGTCAAAACGTGGATAACATAGTGCATACTCCCTATTCTTTCACTGCACCAGGAGTATAGCAGTAGAGTGTGTACTAAAGCTCTTCCTCCTGTAATAGGACAGCCATTGACCTCCTGGGGTGACTGTATTTGGGCTATAATTCTTCAGCCCAAACTTCCAATCCCAGTACCTAGTTTATAATATTCTATAGCTGAAACCTTATGCCTAAGGCAGTGGAGAGAGCTAAGGGCTCAGGATGGAAGTGGGGGTTAGGAAAACTGCAAATAGGTGGGAGCTGTAGTCTGCTCTTATCACAGAGTTCTGTGGCTCTGAACCATCTCTGCCCCTAGAGGCTTGCCCTTGGCCAGTGCATCCTTGGCTGAGATTAAGTACCGTGAGTAGGAGGCTAAGGAAACTTTATGATTCCAAAGAAGGGCAGGCAATCCAGCTGAGCAAGCTCATGATAGCTCTGCCAACTTTTGGAATGGTTGGAGTAGTTGAACTCCCCTGGTGATGGTTTTCACCCTGCTCTTTCCTTTTACCCAGAGCATATACAGTCGGGCAGCGGATACTTATTCTAAGTAGCATCTTATTTCACCCCACCGTCCCGCCCCCAGCTCCCAGCTCTGAGTACTCACAATTTGTTGCTGTTAATCCTAAATGCCACAAGCCAGAGAGCACCAAAGTCAAAATGCTGGTTAGTCTTCGTACAGAATCCATTTCCCCGAGTGAGCGATCTCTTCCAATGGAATCCCAAATTCGCAGGCACCAGCCTTGGCTTTTCTTTTTCTTCCTTTCTCTCTCTGTTGTCTTTCCTCTGCGCCTTCTGACTCCTTCCCACCCACCTTGAACAGACTCTCTCCTTCACTCCATCCTGCTCCTCATAATCTCCACTGAAATCGTAACAGGGCTTCCTCAGAGCTGAGAGCGGCGATACAGGTTAACAGTTACTGCAACTGTCCTTTTCTGTGCTTGCCTTCCTCGCCTGCCTTTTCTTCCTCCGGATTTCCTTTCTTAAAGGTTCAAATCCAAACTCTAGGGCAGCTTTTGGCGCCCAGCTCCGCTAATAGCCGAAAGTACCACATTCCTGCGCTAGGCTGGATTCAGCACCAGGGTGGCGGACAGCTCCTTATACGCGCAGCTTGAGCGGCACCACCCCCTGGCAGAGCACGCCCTGGAGCTCGCCTATAAGAGTGGCCTGGGCGGGTCGTTGGTCTCTCCTGCGACCAAGCATTGCTGGGGTCGCAAAGAGAAAAGATCACTCCTCTTTCTGTCTTCTTTCTATTCATACATCCCAGCGTCCGTAAATGCAGAACTACTTGCCGCATATCTTTCTCTTCCTTCCAAATTATGGGGCCAGATAAATCGGGTTTTCCAACAATGCTGTTGAAGCTATGCCTAAAGGAGTTGAAAGAAGCCTAAGGAGGAGGAATTTTCCCATAGAGAGCTTGGAAACGAACTAACCTGATTTCTAATGCCTTTTACTTCACTTGGCAGGGAAGAGTCATAGAATCATGCTATTTATTTTCCCCTACAGGGATGAGTGATTGACTGGTATTGATCTAATGGGGATTTCTGGTTTAACCATTTAGGGATATGACCGCTCACCTTCTTTTCCGACCTTCCACATTTGCTTCTCTCCCTGGTGGCTCTGGGCACATTACTTTTCTGTCCTATTGGGAGGGGAATACAGAAAGGAAAAGGCTAAAGGAACTCTAAGCCTCTTTGCTTGGACTGGTTTTCCCCACCTCGCCCCTCAGAGATGCTGCCATGGTAGCCCTGGTCTTTGAGAGTCCTGGGTTGCGTGTTCCCCTTCTTGCTAGTTTAATCATACTTGAACGGTCTTGGAAACCGTTCTCAGTGTATGTAATATTTAGACCTTTCTATTTCTTTTTCTTTAATTTTAAATTATTTTTATTTTTTAACCTTATTTCGTTTCTATACAGCTTTTTTTTTTCTTCAGAAAAGATGAGCTCCCTTTCCCATCCACCCCAGTTCCTCAAGGATTGCATCAGCACTGAGCATTTCCTTTTCCCCTGTGGCCTGGCACGGCAGTCCCACAAGGGGAAAGTGAACAAAAAGCTGACAAGTGAGTCCAGGTCTGATGCAGTTCCCACATAAGGCCTAGATTATTAAAATCTTTATTTTATATGTATGTGTATGCGTGTGTGAGTGCCTGCATGCATATATTTGTACCACATGCCTTCAGTGCCCACAGGGGTCAGAAAATGGTGTCAGATCCCCTGGATCTGGAGTTACAGATAAGTTTGCACTGGCTGATATGGGGAGTAAACCCCTCTCTTTTATAATAGCATCAAGTGCACCTAACTGCTGCACCTCACCTCCAGGTTCAACTCTTGGACAGTTCTAAAGCAATAAAATATTACATACATAACTGACAACCATTTAAAAAACCATTTGTTTTTTTTTTCAAAACATTTGTAGCAGTTCAAGGTTAAAATAAATGTTCATTTTTAGGCATTATCCCATATATAAAATGCCTTTATGCATTCCATCAATATTTATGTCCTTAAACATCACAATGTATTATTTGAATTATCTTTCATCAATTTATAAATGGTAAGGCTGGGAATACAGCTGGTGAAGTGTTTATCAAGCATGCGGGGTGCTTCAGGTTCAATCCCTCATACTAAAAACCTGAGTGTGTTTGTTGGGCCTGGTGGTGCATATTCATATGCAATATTCATATTCATATTCATATGCAATCATTATTAAGGTGGAGGCAAGAGGATCAGAAGTTCAAGGTTATCTGAGGCAAAATGTGGAGTTCCAGGCCAGGAAGGCTACTTGAGAACCCACTTGCCCACCATATCTATGGCTTTTCTATTAACTCTATCTATCTATCTATCTATCTATCTATCTATCTATCTATCTATCTATCTATCCATCCATCTATGTACATTTCTATCTATGTATCTTTCTTTTTTATCTCCTATATAACTATTATCTACCTAATATCAATAGAAATGGCAACAAATTGTTTCATTTTGTACTTTTTAATCTATTTAATGTCATTGTTGAAATTTAATGTTTTGATACAGGAGTTCCTACTTGTTTCATCTTACACAGGATATTGTTTTGCATTTTATGATATGGCATTTTACTCATTGGAGTTTTGTTTATAGCCTGATCTTTTTCCACTTTTATCTTCCAATTTAAACTATGCAATTCTTTAACCACTTTGTAATCTGCCTCACATTTAGTAGTGAATTTTCTGTATTGTTTGGAAATGTTTTCCTTTAGGGTTTTGTGTATTCCCAGTGTTATGTAATAATATGACATCAACTCATGTTTCTTTCTTTGCTAAAAGTGTGATCTTTTTCAGCAAGAAGAATTCTGTCTTTTCTGCAGAGAAAAAAAATGATAGCTAGGGAGCAAGACCAGTGTTCATCAACAGCATCACAGCTTCTATGAACCTCCAAAGAACAGTTTCACTAAGCAAAACATTTTAATATGAGAGTTATAATAGCACTGTCTATTCTAGCAGAATCACTTAAGATTAACCATGAAGGACAGAGAAATGTGCTAGCTGTACATGTTCATACAAGGTAGAAACATGTCACCATGGAGTCCACAATTGTGATCTATCTTCAAGTTGTTAGTAAATACTGTCACTCCCTGTTTTGGATGTCCATATGAAGACATAGTGTATAGTATATAAATTATACCTAATTTAGAACACCATTTACAGTTTTATCTTTTATTTATTTATTTGTCTCAACCACACCTGTTCTTGGAGCAACTTAGAGCTTTAATCAGCAGATGTTTGGCAACTATTTGCCAATGTTTCAGCAAGCTTACTGTGTCTCTGACTGTGGTGAGAGACAAACAGCTGTTCCTCACAAACAGGAGTATAAACAATGCCATTTCTGAGTATATTTTGGTTGCAAGGAGCTTTTAGGCACAATAGAGTAGCAATTATTATTGAAAGTGTTTTCAGGGGGCTCTAAGACGGTGGTAATCATTGTGCACCATATCTGAAGGACACAGGATCTGAAACTCCAAAACTGGTGAGTGGACAGCTGGACACTCCGGAGCCAGAGTATCGACTTTGAAGCTTCCCGGGGTGGAGGAGACAATCTGTGAGCTGGGGCAGATTGGATCTACTCCCCCACCCTCTTGGACGTCTCTGAGGTCTGGGAGTGGCAAACTGTGGAACCCTTGCACTTTGAAAGCTCCAATGCCAAGTGCTTAGTCCCAGGTCCCGGGTCTGCTTGCTCTAGGGGCCAGATCCTACAGGGTCCCCTGTGGACAGCAGCAGGATCCCTGGGACAGTTGGGGTCAATCATATCCAAAGTCCCCAATACTTCTGCCCAAATTTGAGAGTCAAGAACCATGGAACCCCTGTACTTTCCCCATATGCCTTCGAGCACTTACAGACCCCCAAACCTGGTAACCTTCTCTGCTGGCAGCCAAACATCAGACTCCCAACCCCCAGCACTGACATTCCTGAGGCAATGTTCCCAACATCCAAGCCCCTGTTCTGCAGGTCATCCTGTGGAGTCCATGCAAACAGCAGAAGTGCATGTTTCCTGGATTCAAGATGGCTCAGGACAGGGAGATCCTAGTAGCTGAAGCACAGAGTCAACACCATTTGTCTTTCTAAGTGAAGAAAAAACTTAGAACCCCTGCTCAGGTGTAGCCCAGGTCAGTATCCAAGTGGGTTCCCTAGTAAGGGGAACAAGGACTCTCTGACACAAACTCAGTGTCTGGCTCTTTGGCCTCTTCCTCTCCCGAGGGAGAAGCAGCCTTGCTAGACCACAGAGGAGGACATTGCAGCCAGTCCTGAAGAGACCTGATAAGCTAGGATCAGTTGGAAGGGGAGGAAGTCCTCCCTTATCAGTGGACTTAGAGCAGGGCAGGGAGGAGATGAGGAAAGGAGGGTGGGATTGGGAGGGAATGAGGGAGAGAGCTTCAGCTGGGATACAAAGTAAATAAACTGTAATTAATATAAAAAATAAAAATAATGTTTCATTTACAAATGTAGGTGGTCTTGTATTTGAGGCATAGATGTTCAGAATTGTGGTGTCCTCTGGTGGATTTTTCCTTTGACGGGAATGAAATGCCCCTCCTCATCTTTTTTCATTAATTGTGGATGAAAATCTATTTTTTTTAGATATTAGGATAGCAACCCCAGTTTGTTTTGTGGGTCCATTTGCTTGAAAAATATTTTTCCAGCTCTCAGTATTTTAAAAAGTTACAGAATTCAGATAGTCTTGGAATGGAAATGCTAAAAATATTATTCTGAGCAGTAAAGTTTCCACAGAAATATTTAACTCCAAACCCACTTCTGATGATCCCAAACATACATGATGTGTAGATAAATGAAGCAATGTCTAAGATTTGCTTTAGATCCAAGAATATTTACAAGAGAATGAGTTATTCTGTTAAAAAGAATAAACAAATATTGGCGGGTGTCTTTCTATCCTTCTGTGCTTAGAGTGTGAGTGATCTTCATGTTGAGCATGGAGTAAAAGCTTGATCAAAGAAGAGAAAGGAGAGAACAAGTGTACCTTGTATTTCTGGCTACTGTTTAGGGGGCAAAGCAGGAGGCACATGCAACTGCCTGGAATGTTCCCCGAGCTTTTAGGGGCCATGACCCAGGCCAGAGCAGAATTTGTTCTTCAACACAGTAAAGAATTTCAGAACTAACAAGTGTGAAGCCGAAATGGGATTAAATATCGATGTTTCATATAGATTCAAACACAAGGGTTAAGGGAAAGATGTGCTCAGACAGAAAGACACAGCACGGGTGTGTGCTTCTCAGTGTCACCCTCACCGTGCGTACAATTGTTCTGTAGGCGAGGGGATTTTGAAGTTACTTTCCCTAAGCTGGTTACTAAGGATTCTAAGTGAGGTCATGGGGCTTTTCCTGAGGGGCATCTGGCAGTACTGTGATTAACATGAAGAAACTCTGATCATGGGGAGGCAAGAAGATAGGGCATGGTCACTCTTAGCAGAGTTCACAGTCCTGTGTGAAATTCTCAGGTAACATAAGGGGAAGGGAAGAGGTCCTGTTCACAGTCATATA